CAGTCCATCCTGAAGGAGATCAGTCCTGGGTGTTGATTGGAAGGACTGATGCTGAAGCTGAAACTCCAATACTTTGGCCACCTGATGCTAAGAGCAGACTCATTTGAAAAGACCCTGACACTGGGAAAGATTGAAGGTGAGAAGAGAAGGGGACAACAGAGGATGAGACGATTGGATGGCATCACTCTCAATGGACATGAGTTTGAGTAAACTCCGTGAGTTGGTGATGGAGAGGGAGACCTGGTGTGCTGCAGTCCATAGGGTCACAAAGAGTCGGACGTGACTGAGCAACTGAGCTGAACCTAACTGACTCCATGCTCTAAGAATTAACCTGATTATAATTACTTTCCCACATAAACTTAGTTACAGGGAGGAAACTTGCTAACTAGTTGACATGAAGTGTTCTAGCCTCCTTTGCAGTTAATTCTCATTATAATGATTAAATAGGTGTTTGGCTTATACCTCAGTTTCTGTGGTTTTAATATCATCCGCCCTCCAGACCCTAATCACCTCTGAGCACACTGGAAACAAAATAAGACTCTCACCATGCAATGTCAGAATTCACAGTGTGAACTGCAGTGAATTCACTGAAGATTGTCCTCCCTGGAACCTTGTCTCAAAAGTCTCCCTGTTTCTCTCTCTCTCGTTTGTCCACAACTCTAATAACATTTCTAGAGACCTATGATTTTCATTTCCTGTACTTCCTTCCACTCATACCCAGTACCATGGTACATAGCATAAGTAATAGCTTCTTTTAATACCACATAGTTAATTGTAACCATCAGAGTATACTGCCCTGGATGAAGACACAACACATGACTGTAGGCATGAGACCCTGATGTACACCTTTAGAAAGAGAAGATGGTATGATTGACCTAATTCTCACCCACCTCCATTCTGTTCAGTTTGCAACACATGAGACCTATGTCACTGCCTTCCCCTCTATGCATGATGTTTAAAGCAAACGTCACCCTTTTTGTGGACTCTGGAATGTCTTCACCAGCACCATCTTGTCTATGACCATGACAGACATCGCTGAAACAAAATAGAGAATTTAAGATATATCAGCATCTTGGCAAAATCTAACACCTCATGCCCTTGGGAGAGCTCTGGAAGCACGTGCTGCATTTGTAAAGCCTTCTCCGTTGTAAAGCCTTCTCATGCTTCCTCACCTCACTGTGAATATTCAGGTTTCATCTGGCCAGGAAAATGGAATAACATTCAATGGATTATAGCGTCATGAATCTTCAGTGTCACCTTTGTACAAAGGTCACTGCCCATACTTTACAAGCAAAAGTCCTGGAAGTGAGTTATACCATTTAGTAGAATCAGCAGAACTAACTTGGTATCTGGACCACACTTTCCAGTCATTGATTGCCTCTATAATTTTGAATAGTCATGCACTAAATCATTGGAATTGCTTCTGATTTTGACTTTATTCTGCAGTCTGTTAGAACCCGCTTCCTGCTCACTGATTTCTGGTACACACCTCACATGGAACTGGTTCTGTTGTATCTCCATCTCAGTGATAAGCCAACTATGACTGCATTCCAGCCACCTCATTTACTTTCACAAGGAAAACCCTGTAGAATTTAAGCTTTCCTATGAGTAGAAGATTCATCCCTTTGGGCATAAAATCTGGCTTTGTGTGCATCTAGAGAAAAGGAATTAATAATCGGCTTATGTCAGACACTGTGCTCAGTGCTGTGTTAATGATACTCATTGAATTTCACATTTCTAAAAAATAGAATATGTGTTTCTGGTATTTAACGATTACTACCTCATGGGACAAGTGTCATTTTTCCATTTAAAGATGATAATATGAAAGTTCAGAGCAGTGAACTCAGTTCAGTTCAGTTCAGTCGCTCAGTCATGTCCGACTCTTTCAGACCCCATGCATCGCAGCACGCCAGGACGCCCTGTCCATCACAAACTCCTGGAGTATACTCAAACTCATGCCCATCGAGTCCGTGATGCCATCCAGCCATCTCATCCTCTGTCGTCCCCTTTTCCTCCTGCCCCAATCCCTCCCAGCATCAGGATCTTTTCCAATGAGTCAACTCTTCGCATCAGGTGGCCAAAGTATTGGAGTTTCAGCTTCAGCATCAGTCCTTCCAATGAACACCCAGGACTTACCTCCTTCAGGATGGACTGGTTGGGTCTCCTTGCAGTCCAAGGGACTCTCAAGAGTCTTCTCCAACACCACAGTTCAAAAGCATGAATTTTTCGGCGCTCAGCATTCTTCACAGTCCAACTCTCACATCCGTACATGACCACTGGAAAAACCATAGCCTTGACTAGATGGACCTTTGTTGGCAAAGTAATGTCTCTGCTTTT